GGGTCGTCCCAATATGCGTTTTTGCAATTTGCATATAGGCAAAAACGCATAAAAATGGGTGACAAAAAGTGCGAACACGTACACACATACACAGACAGTCTCTTGCCAATATGCGTTTTTGTAATTTGCGTATATGCAAAAACGCATAAAAACACATAGTCGAGAGGTTGTCAATGTGTGTGTGCGTTTCTGTGGGTGTGTGTGTGTGTGTGTGTACGTCTGTCCGGGTATTTCAACTCGGCAACCAAGTAAGCTTTGATTCTGGAAAGTAGCCAGTGGGTTCCCTTGCCACATGTGATCCAAGAAAGTGATACCAACTTTCGTGCACTACAGAGTCTCACGTGTGGACGCGATGGATATTTCGGCGGGAAAATTACTAACTCGGGAATCTCGAAAGTTAAAATTTTAAGGGATGCTTTCTCTCCAGGTACAGTTTAAAAAATTCAAATTCATTTCCTATGTACGCTTGGTTCTCACGTTCAGGAAAATTCTGGTTGGAAAAATGCTAACTTGGAAACCAGAAAAGCTAGCCCACTTTCAATGAACGGCCGGTCTCGGAAATTATTCACTGTCCTTCATGCAAAATAAGTATTTTTCTGTAGTAAGTGCACAACTTAAATGTAAAGCAAGAACCATTTGTATTGTTGACGACCTGATTGCTTAGTAAGCTTAGCGCAAAAATGCATAGTGACGACGATAAGTCTGGTGCGTCGCCACGTTGGTTAAATTTTAGTTATGTACTGGTTTATTGCTCGAAAATTTAAACAACTATGTAATGTAGGATTTGCATGCATGCCTGGTTACGGATACGAACGAATGAAGCTGAAGGAGTATCTCGGGATCGAATGGATTGAAAATGGCTTCGATCAGACCGGTATCTTTCGTTAGATGAAATCGTAAAGCAGCTTTATCATTTCTGACCAAACTGTTTCTGATTTTTTGGCCTTCAAAGTCTGGCGGGTTTGCGACAACCAAATGATAGTTTGATTAAGGTTCTCCTGCCTCTGAAAACCGCACATCGTTATCACAGCATATTTTTAAAGCACAAATAAATTGGTGTGATTCTGGCATTTCGACCAGTTTTGTTTTTAGTTTTGAAAAAATATTTGATTAAAATTTGCTGTTTATACATAAATTTAGATGCTAAAAAACCAAGAAATTATATCCACACGTTTTTCAAAATTTTCTTCCCAGATCCACATGCAACATCAAAGGCGAGGAATCATCAGTTCGCTTAAAATACGAGTGCATACAGTGTTGACAAACGATTACGTGTTATTTTCTTATAAGTGTGATCTCAAATAACACACTTCAGTCAAGAGGAACCTGAAATTCATTACTTTTTCAGAGGCTTCACTTGAAAATAAGATTCCAAATATAGGGGTTTATGGTTCAGCTAATATTTGGTATATCGATTGTGGTGCAATTTGAAATAATAATCTGGAATTATTTTCAAGATAGTTTCGCGCGAAATATCTTTCCAGCAGCGAAGGTCACCACTAAGATAGCTGGATTGAGCCTTTACGCAATGCCCGAAGAAGTGATAAAAGACATTTTCAATCTTTCATGCAAAAGATTCATCTAAAAACCTATCAAAGAAGTCAGATGCATCGGAGTGAGATAATTTTTGAGAAACTGATTAAAGCTGATTTTATACAACTTTACCCAAAAATACGGTAGCTGTTATTATACCGTGTTTTAGTGATTTTCAAAATGTCAGAAACATTTTAGCTGAGGTTGCTCAGAATGCAGCACACTATCAGTATACACCCAAATGTCAAAAACGTTTTATATGATGTTGCTCAAAATACCCTGTGCTATCGATTTTCACCTAATCACATCGATTATTTCTAGCATTTAATTTCTGTCCATAAGTCACATTTTTAAAGACTTTTGCTGCTTAAATTAGGTTTAAAAAAAAGCTATGAGGGTTGTGAAGACGTAATTCTGTGAAAATTTCCATCTACACTTACGCCAAATTATCAGATCTGAGCCAAATTGGGCCAAATGCTAAAATTTTTGGACTTGCCAAGGTCTATCAAAATTATCCCAAGTAATCTTTAACTTTTAGTTCTTGTCTAATGGTTGCAGTTCAGAAGCACTGTCAGGGGAGTCAAGAATTTGTTCCAGAAACGAGTCTAAAAGCTCTTCCTAAGCAATCCTCCAAAAAAGGAACCACCGCAAGCCTGTCAAATGTTGCGACTGCAAATCTTTTAGCTCCTGTGATTACCAAATTTGTTTTTCGTGGGACATATGGAATAGAAAGAAGTGCTGAATTTTGAATTATTTGCACCTGAAAGGCAAACTTTTGAATACACAAACGGCATGTTAGCAATAATGGTATATGCATCATGAATACTATGAGCGTCTGGGAAATCAGCGTGGGTATCCCGCGTTAGTGATTTTACTAACATACTTTCGTAAGTCAAGAGCAATTATAAAATAACCAAAAGTCATCATTTAAATGAACCAAATTCAGGTGAGCGTGATGATAAGACGATTCGACATGCAAGCGACTTGGACTGCACATTTGACGACGTTACAAAATGTCGCTGGCGTAATGCAAGGCCGGATGAATCGCTTGATTCGCTCGACTTTTATTTATTTGAGAAAATTGATTTCACTGAATTTCCGATGCTACAAGTTCGACCAGGGCCAAGTGGCCTGAGACGAGGCAAGTACTAGTAAACACTGAAGAGTCCTATTAAGACGATGAAGATCAATACTTTTACCCTGCCAGCAGTGTACAATTATTTTGTTTTGACTTTCAAGTGAGATTTATCAAAAGGCTACCACTCGCAATGAACTGCTGCCGAACGAGATTTTTGTGCATCCGTTGCCATTTCAGTTGTGTTTATTGCCTAAGGGATCGTTTGGCTATGGTCGCTGTTCGACGGTGTAGGGGTGCGATCTATATGTTTCTACCAGGCATTGCTTAGACTCTAAGCTGATTAGACGTAAGTAGGTTTGGTATAAGCAAGAACTGCGTTTGGTCACCGAAACATAGATATCTAAAACTATTGCTGGTGGAAGCAGTGCACAGCACAAAACTGGAAGGCATAAATGAACGGCAGTACAACATTAGACAGATGTTTTCGGAATTTTTTAGACCCTTCATTAGACGATTGAATAAATGGAATTCTAGTTCGTAGTTTCAGGAGACAAACTCTTGTTCACCGGGGATCGAACGAGAGAAGAACAAACAGCTCTTCTGATCAGCTCACCTATTCTTTGTCAAAACAGCACGGGAAATCTTACATTCACGTTCGTCCTTACTGCAAATTTTCTAGATTTTCTCAGTTACTTGATAATCTATATTTTTCTTTAATTTGTTACCTCGCATTGTAAAATTTAACTAGAATGCCTGTGTTTTTTATGCGTTTTACGTTACAACAGTTGCACAAAATGCATATCGTCAGGACCCCGTGAGTGTGTATGTGTGTTCCGAGTGCCTTTTACCCGGTAGTTTCAACTCAGGAACCAGAGAATCCAGGAAGCTGAAATTTTATTAGAATGTCCCCCGTCCACGTGCAAGTTAGCAAACTTAAATTCAGTCGTTGCGTATTTTCGGGTATCACGTACCGCATTGCGAAAGTTTTGGTGGAGATAATTATTATTTCGGGAGCGAAAAGAGCCGGAAGGCTGAAAACTTCGGGAGGATGTTTTTTGCTTATTCAGTGGCCTAACAAACTCAAAGAATGGTGGGGTCTCACTTATAGCCATATAAAAGTTCTGGCGCACGAAACTTGCGCGAAAGCCAGAGAACTAGGAGAACGTAATTTTGGAACAGTGTTCACTGCTTGCGTTTTACGTACTGGTACATGAAGTTTTTAATGGGGAACTCCGCAGCTTAAGAAACAAACACCGTATCGATTTTTCTTTCAAACATCAAAGTGTAAAACACTAAAAATCCTTAGGAGGAAAACGTCCACTGGTCGAAACTGTGCAAAACGCATGATCGTATCGGCTACCGTGGGTGTGCTGCTATTGTTTTCTTTCTTTTGCATTACTCACAATTTTCCGAACGATAAAAATTTCAGATTTTGGTTGTATAATGGGGCGCGAGTAGAAGTTGTGGTGTTGAAACAGTTGCGTGGAAAACTGGTGGTCTTGCCCGAAAAACCGTTTGTCGACTGCGGGACTGTTCTCATAAACACCGAATGCACAGCTGAAATTCCGCCCCGCGACAATGAATTTAGGTAGAATGAATTTTTCTACTTACAGTTTTACAGTCGTTTTATTACTTCGAACGTCTATTGGTTTTTCTCCACTGATGATTTAGAGGTGTAGCCGACAATCACGCTATTTTCTTCTTCATTTTACGGCTGTTTTGACCAACGCTGCATCGCCTGATGGTCAGCTTTTCAGTGACCTGATGTGCCTTGAAAGGGAATACTGACTCAGTCGTTCATCCAGAAGAGCTTGGCAAAGCTTTAGTCCTTACAATGGTATATGTTGAAGCATCACCACCTGTTGCACCCAGACCGCGCTGAAGTACCTTGCTCTCTGACAGATTTCAACATTATCATAGTGGAAACCTATCATTTTTAGGGGCAATTCGTGTCCGTTTTATCTCTCATACTCACCATTTTACCAGTCCAACTCTCTTTTACAATACGCAATGCCTAACATCGTTTGTGATAAACTGGAATCGCAATTTGGTATGTGCTACAACTCGGTGATGTATGCCATGAGTGTTATGTTCAACTCATGGCGTTCCATGATGACTCGTAAATGACCAAAATCAAACGGTAGAATTTCAGTTTTCTGTCTTATTTGTTTCTCAAGCGTCACCACTTCCCCCACAAAGTTCATATATTTGTACTTGGAACCTAGGGGCACTTAAGAACTGAGTTGGAAAAGTTTATGTCGCACATGGACAGAACACTTTACTTGATTTTCTGGTTCATCAAAACTTTGGGTATCCGTTCTTGAAACGCAGACGCGCATGACCTCGCGTTTCTGGAGTCGCACTTGGTCAGGATTTACAATGGCGAAACTCCAGCGACTAAGGTTTCTTGGCTGGCGGGCAGACGAGTATAAACACGAACATCGCAACTACTAAAACTCAGCACAGCTCCGTTCAGCCGGTTCGAGAGTCGATGTGTGATGAGTAGAGTTGAGGGAGGCGGAGGGTACAAGCTGGAGATGCGGAAGAGCGTGATGACGAGGGTGTTGGTTTAGACTTTAGGGGTCGCAACGAGGGTGGAGAGGCAAGGTTATTGACCGGGAAGGAGCTAAGACCTTCGTTGGGTTTGAGAAATCGGAACAGGGGTGGGATTTATGGGGGCGAGAGGAACACTCTAATTACAATCTTACATGCACAAAAAAAAACCCCCAACACAACGGTTTTTGCTACGCGAGGCCGAACCCATAAATGAGTGCATATTAACCAACCAGCTTCTCATCAGCATTAATTCTTTTATTCGGGGCACAAAAACCCCACAGTGCAAAGCCAAATTCCGAGTTGATATTTTGCTAGTTGTCTCTTAATCTCAACTTAGATGTGTCCTTAAACGTCACAAACTTTAACTCACATAAGGGCGCAGAATATTTTTGTGAGGCTTTAGCTTCCTATCTTGTCTGGCTTGCGAAATCGTTTTCCCGAAAAAAATTACGGGTATTTTCAGGCATTCGCATATGAGGCTCATTCTTACACTAACGATGATTTTAAAAGTGGAGGGCCCCAAATAAGTGGGAACACACTGCTAGAGTTCCAGCTTCGCAGCTTTCTCGTTTATTGAGTTGTAAGCGAGCAACAAAAATACGAACACAAACACGCACATACACATACATATCCTGCAGTCTAAAATTATTTGCTATAATAGACGATGAAAATTTTGATTTGTGCATAAGCAAAAAATATTTCGGTTAACTTTAACGACGAAAAGATCTGTTTGTTAATTTGCATTTAGCATTGGAATCAGAGCGTACGATATTGCCAATCGAGAAGGCTCATTTGTTATGGTAGACAATATTATGTACCGTTCTTCTCTGTGTCGAATCTCAAGTACAACTTTTTTAGAATCACCAAATTTTTTTTTTTTCAAAATCTGTCAATTGCTTTAAAATTTGCGCTGTTCTCTTATTCGAGCAGTAAATAACCACGACAGAGACATGAACAATACTGCACGAACATTTGCTTTCACTAACAAAGTACCACTTGAACGCTGAGCATATCGCCGCGTTAAATTTATTTGCTGTTCTTTTAATCGTGGTACTCACCATCTGCATGGTTGGCAACTTTTCCGTTGATTTCCTTGTTCGCCGTACCTAGGCGACTTTAATTAGGTGTTCATATAATTCCATTTCGGATTCGTTTAGAATTGCGCGAGTACGGTTCAACAGTCTACTTTACCGATCTGTCTTCTTTCACCTGATACATCTAGGCTAGACCAGAGCCGCAATAAATCGTTGGAAATTTGCTACAGATTGCTTATGTCTGCCAACACCGTTCGATGATTTGGGGGCGGGGAGAGGGGGAAGGGGAGGGGAGGGGGGAGGGGGGAGAGACGAGAGAGGGGAGAAAGAGGGGGAGGGAGGCACTCCTGAATTCCTCCTTCAGCATATATTTTGTGAAATTTTTAGTTATGTGCCAGAGGGTCTACGAGAACCGAAAAGTGGGAGTGCAAAGATCCCGACGACTTTACCTTTTATATACGCTTAAACTTCACTGCAGTGACGAAACACTATACAAAATACTGCAAATGAAAGACAATTCCAAATCAATACAAACGGTTTTAAGACGGATCCACCTGTGAAAATAAAAAACAAATCAAAACGCGATACACAACGACGCAAAACAGTCGACGCAGGGAAACAGGAAGAATACCAGAAGTGTGACCCCGCTTACACGATGAGGCTACCTTACATTACCACCTTCTTCCGGAGTGTCGGTTCCATTAGCATTAACATCAAATTATGGGTTATCATCCGAATCTCTGCTGAGAACTCGTTTTGCTTTATTGGGTTTTTCAAGATTCCGAGTTTGCTTATCAGTTTTCTATAAATCTTCACCCTTAGAAAAAGAGTTGTTTAGGAGGATTTATAAGTATTTCAAAATTAATAGCAACGCGCACCAGTCCAGCCGGTGCAATCATGCGTTTTGTGCAATTCAGCCCATCGAACGATTGCCTACTAAAACTTTAGTCTATGCAAAAATAGTTCAAACATTGGAAAACAGCTAAAAATTTCACGCACCAGCGCATGAAAGCTGAATTCGAAACCTCGAAGAATGAATATCTTTATCCCGAGTTAACAGTTTACCCGCCAAAAATTTTACGAGGCCGTAGGTGATACTCAAGAGCACGGGAACGCTGAATTTGAATAGGCAAGGTTGAGCGTGGGCAGGGGGTCATTGCCTTAAAATTTCAGCTCCCTAGACCCCGTGTTTCCCGAGATATTAATTCACCCGTAAAAAACTTTCACGGGGCCGTGCGTGTTACTCGCGGGTACGGGGAAGCTGAATTTAAATTTTCGGAGTCACATGTGCAGGGCCGTACGCGTTACCCGCGGGTACGGGGAAGCTGAATTTAAATTTGCGGGGTCACACGTGGTTAAAAAACTTTCACAGGGCCGTACGCGTTACCCGCGGGTACGGGGAAGATGAATTTAAATTTGCGGAGTCACACGTGGGTCGTGTTACCCGTGGGTACCGGGAAGCTGAATTTAAATTTGAAGGGTCACACGTGAGTGGGGAACGTCTTACCCGCGGGTACGGGGAAGCTGAATTTAAATTTGCGGGGTCACACATGGGTGGGGAACGTCCGGCCGTACACGTTACCCGTGGGTACGGGGAAGCTGAATTTAAATTTGTGGGGTCACACGTGGGTGGGAAACGTTACCCTATTCAGCGCTCTAGCTTTTGTGGTTCCCGAGTTGAAAGTTGCGGACAAGTTGCTGCGGACACACACACACAAACACGTTTTGTACTGCTGTTACACAGCACAAAATGCATAAAAAGAATGTTTTGGAGGATTTATCAGGATCTCTCTTTTTGTTTATTTTTAACATTTCCTTTTCCACTCTTAACTATCCTGGTGGAGTTTTCATTTCTCACCTCCCTGCAATAACAGTGCCTCTTTACTTTTTCATTTAGTGTGGTATTCCGATTTCCTTTCCATACAAGAGCAGGTAGCACAGCTGGTTTGTGAAGTATTTTTTCACTGCTGTTTGTGTTCATAATGTTACTGTTATGAACACAAACAGAATTTCACTAAATTACGGAACGCTTTTTCTAGTCAACGTAGAAAAAGCGTTTCGTAATTTAGTGAAAGTTTCAGCCGTCTGTGTTTACAGTTCAGGGGTGAAACACGAGCATCACCTAGTCCACATACTAGCTTGCTCACGTGAGATGAGTAAATGGCGTTTTTTGGTCAAAATATGAAACTTCGGCTATTCCTTTCATTGGGGGCCTACACTGCAACCAAATTACACATGCAAACACACGGTATGTTTCTGGCTCTCCTTTTTTCCAACCTCCTTTTCCCAATCCCCTAATATAGTTATCTTAATTCTTTTCAATAGCAACTTTTCAGCAGCAATCCAAAATTCTTCTTAATACTTGTATTTCAAACTCCTTCAGCTTAGCTTCACACTAAATCACAACTCATCTGCGTTGTTTATCGCTTTAAGTGTAACTGCTTACGAAAGCGATGAATTCTCCAGTCCCATGTCGAACTGGAAATAGCATGCGTTTTCGATCTACTTTGTCCCTCCTTCACAAATACGAAGTAAGAAGGCAATATGAGCTCTGGATCTCACTATATGCAATTTGTAGTTGACTTGGGCGACAATTTCCGGGGTCGACCTTTCATAACGGCCGTAAAAAGCTCGCCGGTCGAGGCGGCTGAGGAGCTAAACTGTAACGATTTCTCGGCAAAATGCCGCTGGCGAACGGTCGGCCATGCTTCGGAGGTTAGTGCTTATTGATTACGGCTCCAAAAACTTGTTGTGCATCGCAGGTTTCCTGGCGTCGTATTTTAAATGTCTGAGTCAGAAAACAAAAAATTCCAAAATCTCGTCGAATTTCGCTCCTGAATTCAAAATTTGCTTCCAAGTAGCCTATACTGCTGGAATTTATAGATGTGGCAAGTAGCTGATGAGTCACCAAGTAGCGATTTGATGTTCAATGCAACCGGCGCTCTTCCGGTTCCTGAAGCACCTTTTCTGTTCATGTATATCGAGCAGAATCGATTTGGGCCATTCAATGTTTTGCAGTCCGATCCAATTGGTTGCCAAACTGAAAATCCGTCCAAAATCACCTTCAGGTTATTATTGTTTAGATATATAAAGCACAAGAAAGGCCATTAAATGTTCTGTAACCAGTCTTATAGTGGAGTAGCTTGGATTTTGAAAGGGAAGCTTTTTTTTAAGTAAAAATTTTTCGATAGTGATGAAAATATTAGCACAGATTTTGGACAACTCGTGATGTGGTTCTGGAAGTATGCGCCCGGGATCATTTGCTGAATGTATTAGAATGCCATCCGGTCACAATGGACTTGTCACCAGCTCCTTTTAGCATCAAATTCAGCAAGCTACCAACATTTACAGTAACTTTTAAATTTATCCACTGATGCTATTGACAGTCTTTGCGCTTAGTCCATTAACTGTAATTAAGCTTTTATGAAGCAGTACAAAAACTACACGTTCATCTCTGATACCATACTACATTTCTGGAAAAAAAGTGCTGCTTGTAAGCAAACAAAAAAATAAAGCTAACCTTATAATCTTCTCATGTTTTGGGTACTTTCTCAGCATAGTCTTATAATTTTAGTTATATAATTAAAAACTTTATGTCCGGGTGCAGCTTCCTGCTCCTGTTTGTGTGGGAAAATTATGCTTCGCCTAATTTATACTGTTTCATCCTAATAGGGTTCAGAAAAAACAAATGTTTCTTGTGATGTATTTCCGAGCACATCTGCATCACCGTATAGCTAGAATTAAGTCATGCTAGAAGTTTGTTTGTGGCTATTGCCATTTAGCTTCATTCAGTCTCTTCGCTTTATCTGCTGCTTAGAATTTGTTAACAAAAAAAGGATCAGCCTACCAGCAGATTATCTTAGTTGGCAGAAGTTCGCTTATATCTGCAACAAATTTATGAAGTTTATTAGCAAATCTGCAAGAGTTTTAGCGTGGTAACTTATAGTTTATTTTAGCTCTCAATAGAGGTAAAAAGCATCAACAGTGATTATGACAATTTCATCGCTATCGATGACATTGTCTATGATGCGACGTTTTGTACGGAAGCAACAGATGCTTGGGATCTTGGCTCCAGTTTCTACCCATCACCAATGCTCAGTGCATTGATCGATAGACCTATTTTTTCCACAAAGGTATCATACCTTGTATCAACAAATCGTAGTAATAAAATTTTTCCTTATTAAGCGTTTTTGCACCTTTATGTGAATGTAGCTTACGTGGTGATGCACCAGGCTTGCCGGTACGATCATTCTTTTTCGCATAATTCCATCTTGTGGAGAACTTTTACTACTGGGGTGTACTGCGGTGTTGCACTTTAAACACTTGAAGCTCCTATACGCACAGTCCTTGCCTAGGCAGAAGCTCATCTTACGCTTGATGATCCGCATACGAACAGCAAGAACCGTGAAAAATAATGCTTCCTACTCATTCTGGTGCTAAGAGTGTCTGAAACTAAACATTCATTTGCGTACACTTGAGATTTAGGCATGCTTTAAAGCTAATTTTCACATGCATATGTATCTCACTTACAGGTGTTTAAAAGCTAATTTTGAAATATTTAGACCACACCACCTCTTGCCAAGATGCGTTTTTGCATTTGCAAAAATATACAAAAAAGCATATTGTCGTAAGATTGTTGGGGTGTATGTATGTGTGTGTGTGTGTGTGTTGTGTTCGGATTTATGTCACCCACACTTAACTCAGCCAACGCAGAAGCTAGGAAGTTGCAGTTTTGCAAGGACTTTCCTAGCTCAGTGGCATCCAGAAAGCCGAAAGTCAGCGTTCACATGCATATGTATCTCACTTACAAAAAGAATTCATGCAATGTTTTCGAGTGATTTCATTACGCCTTTGTGTGAGCTTGAGCTTCTAAATTCAGTCTTAACGCACGCCTACATTACACGTGCAGGCAAATCAAAAATAAGATTTCGCCATCCCTGGCAAAATGCCAATTCGGGAAATAAACTGTTTTAAGCGCTTTAATTTTTGATGAATATTTTGTTTTCCGTACGTGGGCACACAAGCGTAGAATGAGCTTTGGCGTATATCTGTTTCACGTGTTCGAACACGTCAAAGATGTATGCAACTGGAGCTATTTCGCCAGCCACTCAGGCTAAAAAGCTGGTTTTTGAAATTTTTCAATAATGTATTATCATAATTTCCTCATTTCCGGATTTGGATTGTTCGTTCAAAAAACGTGCGATTGATTGTATGTGGGCCAATCACGAACAAGCGGATGTGGCTTGGCAAATTGGTACTATGCCGCTTAATGAACACAAATTTATATCGCTGACTGGCACTCTTGAGATGCCTGGTATTTCATTTTAGTACTAAATGTAAGAAGTTAATGCTAAGCAGCGAAATCCCCTCTCCCCCTTGCCCCTCCCCTCCTCCCCTCCGTCTCCGCTTTCCTCCGCTCGGATCGAACACATTTTCCGCTGACTGGACTGGAATGTAAAGTTGCGAAAGTTGTTGAAAAGTAGAGCCAAAAAATTTGCACAAGTATGTTATTTTGGCGGAAAGAACGGTACATGATGTGCTCGTGTTTCCGTAAATGAATAAAACTGTGAACTACAGGGTTTGTTTTTGCGTTGGCCTTGCATTTTCTGCATACTCTAGTGTTAAGACAATGGAAAAGACTACCCTGATTGAAACGCTGACATTTTTTGCAAGCTCCTTTTTTTGACGTTCCATTTTCGAAAGTGTGTCATTTTCCTATACTTTTAGTTCCAAATTTGAGGCTTTTGAGTACGTTTAATTTTCAGAAGCAGTTTTGCATCTGGCGATTGTTTCTTATGCCCTTCGGATTAAAATTTGCCAATCTTTGGTAAAATTTTGCTGCGGCTGGATTTTGCGCATCTCTGCTCTTTATTTTCTGCTTTGCACCTGCATGAACACTTCTGATGTTCTCTCGCATCGAGAGGGTTTACTGTCTTTCTATCACTTTTAAGTAAGTGTAGGTTAATGTGATAAATTCAAGCCAATGACTTAAACTCAACATAAAGGAACACCTCCTCGTCGTTTAAGAGTGCGTAGCATCTCTTAATGTTCTTAGCACTTTCCCACTTCGACGTTTGTGGATTCTGTTCCTTCCTCTTGTCTTTTTCTTCGACCGACTAACTTATAAATGCTACGAGTGGTTGGAAATTTGTGTTAAAACAAGGTTTATCACATATTTTGCTTTTAAAATTAAATAACCTGTGTTTTGATGATGTATTATTCATTTTCAAAGCGCAGCAATCCAAAAACTGAATGCGGTGCACTGAACTTCGACGTTCACACGGTTCTTCAGCTCTGGTAAAATGCTAAATTTAGATGACGAATTTGCTGTTACAAGACTGAAATCTGGACAAACATCATCATTAATTACAGAGCCCATTCGTTGCATCATTGGCCGAGCAACTCTTACCTTTAGGTAATGTGCACACTCTTTATTTTGAAAATAATTTTGCCGATTTTTGAGCACATGAGAATACATTTTTTTGCGAATCCTCGAAAAAAACATTGCATTTTGGCGACATCATCAAGGCCAGAGGAATACCTATCAAAAAAAGTCCCCACCGGCCATATGCCGTAAGGTGAAAAACGCCGGGCATCGGAAGGCCCTGCGCGGATATGCTTTTTTGCAATTAAACACTGCAGGCACGCAGTGGACGAGTGTGCCAATGCATGAACTCGTGATGATCCTTCAACCTATCCAGCGTGTAGAACTCTGAAAATGTAGGTTTTACGGTACGCTGCTTCTGAATTTATAGTTTTATCTCGGAGGAGCATCGCACAGCCTAGGAAATAAAGAAGTATAATATCAATTTCGAGTTTTAATACTTTTTGTATTACAACAGCAGTGCAAAACGCATACTACCGAGACTTTGTCTTTGTGTGGTGAATGTGTGTGTTTGTGTACGTGTGCACATATGAGTGTGCGAATCTTGTTTATGGTTTTCAGTTCAGAAACCAGGAAGGTTGGGGAACCGAAATTTTAAGACATTGTTCCATATCCAATTGTGGCCCTGCAAATTTAAATTTAGCTTCCACTCATAAATGGAAGGTCTTACGATCAGACAAATGAAAGTTTAGCAGGAAAATTACTAATTTAGGAGCCAGAAGAGCTAGAAAGCTAAAGCTTTAGGAAGACGGTCTCTCTCCATGTGGCAGTTTAGAGATTTTAAATTCAATTTCCTTGTACGCTTAGATCTGAAGTACAGATACGTGGAATTTTTAGCATAAAATTTACTAACTGATAAACCGGAGGAGCTAGAAGATTGGAATTCTACGACAATGTTCTCCAACCAAGTATGATCTTAAAATTTCAGATTCCACGTGTGCTTAGATATTCACGTACGAACACGTGGAAGTTTTGATGCGAAAATTACGAACCTGGAAAAGCTAGGAAACTGCAGTCTTAAAAGGACGCTCCTGTTTATATGTAACCTGACAAGCTCAAATTCAGTTTCCGCATGTGCTTAGGCCTTGCGCAGGATTCATGAAATTTTAGGGAGCTGAAGTTTTAGGGGAAATTTCCTATACACGTGCTAAACGAGAAATTTGTATTTAGCTAAGAACTTACTTGTGGACGCAGAGGTTTCATGTGGGAATTTTTCCAGCTCGGAAGCTGGGAAAATTAGAAAGCTGAAATTTTTGAATGTTTTCAGTCAATGTGCGATTCCGCAGATTTAAGTTCAGCTTTCGAGTTTTTCTGGATCTCACATTAAACGCAAGTAAATGTACTAGCGGAAATTTTTCATCTTGAAAACAGGGAGAGATCGAAAGCCGAAAATTAAGAAAGCTGCTTTCTGTCAATGTAAAACCTGGAAATTCAAATCCAGTTTTCATGTATGCTTATGTTTCATATACCGACACATAGAATTTCACATGAGAAATATTTAGCTCGGGTACCAGACGGATAGAAGGCCAGGATTTTCAGAGGATATTTTTTGTTCATGTTTTACCTTACAAATTTAAATTCAACTCTCACTCACGCCTACATTTCACGAACGGGCACATGAAATTTTTGGTATAAAATTTCGTAGTTTGGGAACCCGGCTTTTTGCCTAATTTTGCACAGACAAAACTGTAACGCAGTGAAGATTCTTAACAGCTAATGTCTACCGAACAGATTTTTTTTGCATTTATGACTGCTTTGAAGTGGCTAATTTTCCGAAAAAGTTTTCCTCTCCATGCACTGCGAGGAACAATGTAGCAGACAGTTACAATCTTCAAGAACTGACCATCACATAGGCGAAGCAATTCATTCGATCGAGTAGCCACTTATGCACTAGAGCAAGTCGCCAAATCTTTTCCAGAGACGTGTTAGCTTGGTTTTGCTTTTTTGCGTTGGTTTCTGTATCTGTTGGGAGCGATGCAGAGAGCACATGTTGCAACGAAAAGCTGGGGTACAGCAGTACAAGGATGCATTATGTATACCGCTGTCAACAAGCCGAGCAATGTGCTCTGCCCACCGGATGCCACCTTCTCGAGTGGTCGCAACTGACATCTTGCACGCTGCTCGTCCGACGGAGACTCTAACAGCTCAATTGCTCACAAGGGGAGTCAAAACATCGTTCGCTTTCTTCCTCACAACCAGCGTTTACTCATTAAATGCAGTTTTCGTAGGTAGGCCCTTTCCTGAAACACTTTCTCTTCGATGAGATTTAGGCCATTTACGTAAGCTTATCTCGTACGTTCTGGAGAGTGTTATAGAACGGTCCATATATTTCTCAATTCGCGGCACCCGGCACACAACAGCGTCTCAGTTTTTAGCTTGTCCGGTGCAAAAAATTCAGCAGCAAAAAATCAGGTAAACGCACTGGTACAACAAAGAAGGATCGCGAGATGCACCAGGGGCATAGGGCGAATGGATGAGAGGAAAGAAGAGCAAATCCAGTTAAAAAGCTCGCGCGACTGTACTAATTTTGAGCGTTTCTAAACTCCCACTGTTTGTCAAGATTCCGGCAACCTTTGGGGGAAATGAGCCAGGCCTTCGTGACCATGTTAACAATGAACTCTAGGTCATACGAGTGGCGTGTAGGATGTCAGGTGCGATCGCTTGATAAATCCGGATCTGGTGGGCAAGACGCGCCCCTTTCCTTACCGGCAGCCGGC